AAGAGCCCTCAATGAATTTTTGGTAAAGCGCTCTCTTCGAACCAGCCACGCTTGTGGCCCAGAGCCTACTTTTGCATAGGGGTCCATGGCCACAAGAAATCTTAAGATGTCCCAAGTCATAGGGTCCTAATTTCTATGTTACAGAGTAGATATAAAAGAATCTGTTACTAGAAGTAAATAATCAAACATGGGGGTTCGATATTATTTTTAATTAACTTTACACTCTAAAGCAACATGGAGGGGGGAGGGGGTTGGGGGAAGAAGGAATGCCCAAAGGAACCGAGCTCACCCGAAAAGGGCTCTTAGAGCTACAAACAGATCCTTCGGGAAACAACCACTCCCACGTCCAGACTTTATAGAAAAAAAAATCAAAGTTTACATTTTACAAACATTAGAAGACAGTAAAATAACAAAATACAAAAAAAGGTAACTGCACTATGACAGACCTCGTAATTTCGAACCTCGGTCAAGTGACGGAAAAGACACCTTAACTGACAATCTACTCACCAAAATTCCACACCACGCCAGCGTGAAGACTTTAAGCCATGGTATATTTTACGTGCATCAACGATCTGCATGGAGGTCACAAAGTTACGACTCAGAGCCACGAGTTCGTAGCCATGTTCACTCAGCTCTAAAGTGTTCTTACATGGGATAAACAATAGGAAAATTTTAATGTTGTAAACAATAAATTAAAAAACAAAAATTTGTGACGTATGATGTAGTTAATTTAGGTAATTTTCTTGCGCACATATATGTGACCAAAAAGAGTTCAAAAAAATTACTTCCTTTATATTCTATCACATAGCGCTTTATTGGATGCAATGCTCAAAGAATAGAGTTAAAAATTGAGTTAAACAATTTAGATTTTCTCATCTTTAGATTATTATTTCCTATGAATTAAAAAAATTTTTCCACTCTACAAAAATAGTTACCATAAAAACATTCTTTAACGATTTTCCTCGAAACAAAACATGTAGGAGGTATATATTAGAAAATTTCTCGGGGGAAAAAAATAGTAATTGAAATCGCACGGATTTCACTTGTGAGAGAGTATATTTATAATTCGTCATTTCTCTCTTTTGTTTCCTACTTTATTCCTATAAGATTACCAGCTTTAAGCCGAAGTGTGACCACACACACACATAGTCCAAAATGAACTTCAAAAAAACCCACGATTTGCAAGTCGAAGATCCCTGGAAAAATCCCCATTATTTTAAAAGAAGACGAAGAAATCGAGAGTCTGTGACGTCAGGCTCGTGACGTCAAACGACCTTGAACCCAAACTCGGACGGAGCATTATCTCATTTTTTATTAGTACTTTTTTTTGTTTTTTACCTGGGCACTTGAAGAATTTCACCTTGCCCCAAGGTCCCTTCGGCAAATGGCAGGGACCGAAGGAAATCACGTGGCCCAAACGAGAAAACTACAATCCCCCTTCTCCACGGCTCCGCTATCATTGAAATGCCGGTTTATTGGGCACTACTTTTATTGTTTTTATTTATTTATAACTTTTAGTGTGGTCGTAGATATCCTTCTTCCTCGAAGTTTAATATAAGCAGGAGGTCCTTTTAAAAGGCTTAGATCCGGGCTTGAATGGCGGAAATGCCCAAATCGGGGCGGAGATATAGCACAGGCAGGCCTGCCTTCCCTCCCCCCTAACTCTAACCTCAGGAGTCATCAGACAGAGCATTTCCAATTGCGACTTTTTTTTTCGGGGTCAAGGCTGTACTCTGGATGCTGAGGTTGATTGAAGATGTTCAATTTGGGCTCTGCCAGCGACGGACTGATGGGCAAAAAAAGAAAAAGGCCTCCAGGAGATGTGGTCAAGCCGTCTCTTGTTTTGATTGCATCGTTTAAAAATATATTAAGGCTTTTGACTTGTAAATGTATGGAAGTTGTTAAAAATAAACGAGATGTGTAATGCAATTTTAAAAAAAATACTACAGGTTTTCCATACTGCACTGAAAGCAATTATCTTTTACTGAAGTTAAAAGGTTTTATTTTATTAAATATATTTTATAATTAATATTTTACATTTAATCGATTTAGGTATGGTATAAAATAATACCTAAAAATTTATCAAAAGTACGTACTACTTACCAATGGATTAAAAAAAAAATTATTTTTAAATAAAAACTTGAGGTAAACAAGTAATTAAAAAAAAAAATTAAGCCAATTCCTACTTAGATCAACAAAGAAAAATTTTGTTTTAGTTATTTTTTATTAAATAGTTACAATTAATATAAATATATATATACATAGGACAGAATCACAGCATTAAGTGGTAATTCATTTTTATTCATTATCATTAAAGTATCGTATTGTCATCCAAAACAATCGTGTCTATAAAATTTCAGTTCAACTGAATGCTTTAAAACGTGCGGAAAAAAAACCTTTTCAAGTTTTGACACAAGTCGCCAAAATGGTCGCCAATGCGGCTCTATTTGTAATTATTTAAATAATTATTTTTGATCAATTAATTTTTATTAATTATAATTACATTATTGTATTGTCATCCAAAACAATCATGTATATAAAATTTCAGCTCAATTGTGCGCTTTAAAATGTATTTTATTAACGATTGAAAATTCCACCAAGATAAATAAATAAACAAACAAACAAATAAATATATAAAAATTATGAGCTAATAGTAGGAATTGATAAACGGAAAAACTAAGAGAAAAATAACGTGCGCATATAAAATATATATAATTAAATATATCCAAAACAAATTTTTAAAGATGAATTAAATCTTTGTTTGAGAATAATAGTCTGTGTGTCAGATATTTAATACATTATACGTTTCCTTGCGTAGATTTTTAATATCATTATAATGCAATAGTTTTTGAGTTCATTTACATTCTTGCATTTATAAAGTAAGTTAATAAAATAAAACTGTATATCGTTAATTTATTCCGTTAATATCTTCTTAAGTCGTTCATAATGGGGATAAAGTTATACACTCAGTAAAAGCCTATACAACGCCGGGCTAAGCGGAGGAGAAAGAAACCCGTCCGACAGGGCAAAGAAGTCGAAGAAATTTCGAAAAAGGGAATTTTAATGACATGTTATTAAAGGAATCACACCCAACCCTGGAAGTGCTGACATTGAGAGGGGAAAGGGGAATTTATACACTGGAGAAAGCCCGTGGTGAGCGCTGGGCATGCAGCTAGTATATATATATATACAGGGTGATTCTCTGCCAAACCGACAAACTGTTAGGGCGTGTAGGGAGTACATAAATGATTAGGAATCACATAGGAATGCAAGGTCGAAAAAATGCCGTAGTTACGATCTATGGTGAAATGAAGCAGGAAAAAAGGGAACAAAAATAGCAACACATTAATGGGACAGAAAACATTTTACTGAAAGGTTGTACTACAACAAGTCCTCGAAATTACGATCAGAAGTTGTCTGGTAGGCCTGTCAGTGGCGCTGCATGGAATTCCTTAAGTTCTAGAAGATTCCTGGCATATCGAGGTATTCGAGCGTTTCCTTCAACTGAAGAAACTGGCGTCTCGTACATCTAACTCTTTTGTGAACCTAGAAGAAGATCATGTAGTTTCGAACACCTGCTGTGGTACAACCTTTCAGTAAAATGTTTTCTGTCCCATTAATATGTTGCTGTTTCTGTTCTTTTTCACTGCTTCTTTGCACTATAGCTCGCAACTGCGGCATTTGTGATCCTGCATTCCAATGTGATTCCCAGTCGTCTCTGTAACCTCTACTTACCCTACCAGTTTGTCGGTATGGTAGCGAATCTCCCTGTATGTATGTATAAGAATATATTAAATAAAAGAAAAATCATGGATAAATTAAATATCCTATAAAACAGAGGTGACAAAGTCTGAAATCGAGAATCAAGAACAAAAACCAATACATGCAGAAAAGCCAATTGACCAAAATGGACAATTATCCAAGCTGTCAGTGACTTATGGTAGTGAAGTAGGGTTAAGCTTGCTTTTTAGGTTTCTAACCTTCACCTTCAGCATATATATAAGAGATAAAATTTTATAAAAATTAATTTAAAAAAATTACATTTTTTATAGTTCTTAATTCGTTTTTCTAAAAAAAAAAAGAAAAAATTAAATACTAAAGAGAATTGTCTTTTATTTCCAAGAATTTCTGACTAAGAGAATAAATACTAAGTGAATTATTTTTAAAATTGTTTACAAAAGAAAAAAAAAGTATTCAGCTTAATCAAAAAAGCTTGGTTTTTGAAATTATTGCAATAAAAAATACAACAAAGTTTTGTCAAATTCTCTAAAAAAAAAAAAAGAGAATTTGTATGAAATACTGCTGGGGATAACAATGGTTTATGAATCCTTACAGAAAAAATATTTTGCTTCTCAACATAAAGAAGTATTACAACAATAAATAAACTTTAGAATTATGATTCAGTATTTAATTTATAAAGATAACGACGCAAAAAGCATACATTTGATTGGAAAAAAGCTACTGTTGGAATTTCAGCTTTTCTTAGTTTTTAACTTTTTATTTTTTATTTTGACGTCTACTTATTTTTATTTTCCTACAGCAGTAATTACGAAATCTGGTCTTAAGACCGCAAGCTTTATGCTGGAGGTTCTAATGAAAGATTAAATTGATTGAAATGTAAGTTATAATTGAAGAAAAATGGCCATGCGCAATTGTAGGACCTGCCGAAATTTAGATTCAAACTATCCTAAGAATCAGAGAACAAATGAATTCCAAGTCAGCCATCATTTTTTAATTATAAGAAATTTTTTTTAGAGATAACCGAGGCAGAATACTAAGTTTCTTTTTACAAGTCCTATTATTAGTTCACTCTCTCCCTATACATATGTGTGTGTGTGTTAAAATTTTAAGTTCAAATACATTTTTTTAAACTTCTAATGGATGATACTTGATGCTAATACAGTTTTTAAAAATTTTTCTTCATTAATTAAATATGAATAAATAGTAATAAGAAAAATAATAGTCCAACAGTATATATAGAAAGGAAAATCGTTCGTTGTGTCCCTGTAGCGCAATGGATAGCGCGTTGGACCTTTAAATCCAAAGGTCGTGGGTTTGAATTCCACCTAGGATGACCTGATTTCTGAGAATGAGATTTCTTTTTTACTATACTATTTTATTAGAATATATAAATTTAATTAATGAATAAATATTAACAAACAAAAAAAATAGTCCAACACCCTATATAGAAAGAGAAAAATAGAAAATTGCAGGAAAATTCGCTTTCTATTTTGTCACTAAATGTGATTCTGTCATATCTAGATACATATTTATATTAATTGTAATTATTAAATGAAAATAACTCAAATAATTTTTTTTTTGTTGACCAAGTAGGAATTGATTTAAAATTTTTTGTTTATATTACTTTCTTCAATTAAAAGAAATTTTTCTTGGAGATAACTGAGTCAAAATATTAAGTTTTTTTTTAAAACTCTATTACCTCTTTCCTATAAACACAGCAAGGCAATTGGGAATGGTTAAAATTATATCACCATTATCCATTACATTATTGCAATATAAGACTTCGGTATTTTAATCGAGTTAATTGCGTAATAAGCCGCATGTGGAAATGCAAAAAATTAACATGTTTTTGAGAACTGCTTACAAACATGACTTGCATAGTTATTAAATGGCGAAACGTTCCTGATACACAAAAATTAGGACGTATTTCCGAAATGGATACGAGAGAGCCTCTGGGGCCCTTCGCACTACTTCAGAGGTATGTCCGAAATGCTTTGCAGGTTTCCCTCCCCTTTGCGACCCCCGGTTTCAATCATCTTCGAAAGCCATAACATTTTGAAGAATTGTAGAAGGAAAAGTGTGTGGTCATTCGTTCTCATTTTGATTTGTGTTTTGGATTCAGGTAATACGAAGGAAAACAACTGCAGATTCTAAGAAATGTTTTTATTTCGAATTATTTTGAAGTAGCTATTCTAATTACAGAACCTGACTGAGATATAGTTCTAGATTTTTTTTAAAGAACAAAAGCTGTGTGCACTAAATTATTTTTCGATGTGTCTACAGTTCAAAGGAAAATGCAACGGAGACCATGCAATGTTCCAATGAGCTTTGCACAAAGTGCTAAGTGCAATGCACAATGTGTGGAAAATATGCATTTGTAACCATTGGAATTTTTAATTAAATAAGTAACAGAAATTTAAGTTAGAGGAAATTAATTTATATGTGTTCATCTATGAAAAATTAAAGTATATATTTATCTTGAAATCCATAGCTATTTTTTAGACAGTTTATCTGAGTAATCTACCGTACGCATATCCTGAAGATACCCAACTATCATAAACAAGGACGTTTTAAGGCATGGGCAAACTGGGCCCAAGCCCAGGGCCTACGAGAAAAAGATGAGGCTTAGTCTCGTTCTCGACCCAGTTTCAATAAGATCATGATCCAAAAATTTTAACTATCAATTGTTATTTCTGGGCATATTTTTCGAAAAACTGAGACTTTCGAATAATAGTGACAAGGCTGTATTATTATGTCATGTCCGTCACCCATATCTAGGCCTAGGCTTACCTCCATACACCATACTCATTTAGTTGAAAGGCGGCAGTCGTTTGAATCAGTTTGTGCAGAGGTTTGTGAGATTGTGAGTTACGTACATTGATTTGTTACGGGTTACCATTTGTACAAGTATTTGACAACGTCCACTCAAAAGGACTGCAGGTAGTGCCGGCATTTTCATAAGGGCCTAGGGCCCCAAGGAATTCTAAGATGTCACTGATCATAAATAGCTTTTAGACTGAGTCATCAGTGTATACGACAAATGATAAATCCTTTTTTGAATATGGGGAGGAAGGGATTATTTTGAAAATATATATATGTGTAACATATAAAAAAAAATTAAAAATTAATGAAAAAAAATGCATTTCATTATTGTCTGACTATACAGATAAATCTCCTTTGATTTTTTCCCCTTTTTAAAGTACTTAATATCAATATTTAAATAGAGAACGAAAAATGCTATTGAATCTCATAACATAATCACATAAACAACGGGGGTGGAGATGCAACACTATTTTACAAAAAAATTTAAACTTAACACACACACACACAAAACAGAACATGCATCTTATGTTTGAAACAAAAAATATATCTTTTCACAATCGGAATGTAGCAAGATCTGATCAAGGGCCGAAATTTGATATAGGAGCGTTCGTTGACCGTTAGTTGCGCCAGAATTTAAAGGTGGTTTTTTTCCGAACCGACGCCGGAGAAGCCCTGTCGAAAGCCACCGGTCAACGATCTCTCTCTCTCGGACTTCTTCCTCAATTCCGCCCCCAAGACAAAATACTCATTGCCACGATTTATTTGCTGAGGAGTTTTCAAGGCTGCACCTGTAACCCTCATTCATAACCTGCTCTCTCTCTCTCTTGGTTGAATAATAATAATAAAAATATTTAAAAAATAAATTCTCGGAAAAGGGGAGCGTCCTTGTGTTAAAATATGCATAAAATTCCTAAAATATCTGTTTGTTTTTCTATGTAACGTGTCTCGAGATGTATCATATAAAATCGAATGGAATAAGATTTATGATTCCAACAAGGACATAGGAATGGAGTCTTTATAAAAGACCGTATTAAGTTACTTTTGGTGTAATAAAAAAGATAGCATTAATTTATTTAAAATCTAATAAGAATAAATAAATAAGAAGAATGAAGAAAAAATATATTCAGACTATTTTTTCTCTTATGATATTTAAACAATATTTATGATATAAAAGTTCCTTCCTTCCTCAGTGGCTCTACAGCCCAGGCCGGGCCTTCTCACAAGAAGCCTTTTGCAGACCAACCTTCTTCCTCAGCTAGCGTTCTCCAATTCGTAATTCTGAAAACTAGAAGATCTTTTTCTAGATCCCAGTTTAGGTTTGGCCTGTCTTTGCCAATTGGTTGAGCATTGAAGACTTTTTTAGTGGTGCGGTCCTCGTCCATTCTAACAACAAGATCTGTCCATTTAATTCGTTGTATTTTGATGAAGTTAACGATGTCAGTTCTTTATATGAGTGATAGAACTCGAAATTTGATCTCTTTCGCCAAATGCCCTTTTCCTTAATTCCTCCAAAAATAAATCTTAAAATCTTCCTTTCGCAAGTACTTATCATGTTCTCATTTGTTCCGAGACATGGACCAAGTTTCACATGCATAAGTTTTAATACTGGTCTTAAAAGACTTTTATACAATAAAATCTTTGTTTTTCTTTTGATTAAAATATAAACGTTCTACAATATGTATGTCGCAGGGAAATAGCGAAATTAGGAATTTCATCAAATCCCTAAGGGAAAGGATCAATTGACGGAAGATGTTAAAATAACGTCTCTTCAAGGTTATTGCCCTGAGGAAAGTAAGAGATTTTATCAAATCCCTGAACTGTTTCAGTGAAATGATAAAATGAACTAGTCAGGATTTGCATTGGCAAAATGCTATACAGGGGGTGGGGACACCTAGGGGGCTCGAGTCCTTGTATTTCCTAACCATACAGGTAGCACTATCGATCCCCTAAATATCAACCCCATATCTTTAAAAAAATGGCACCATAGGATTAACATAGGGATTGATATTTTAGTGTGTAAGCAACCAAGAGAAAAGATGTTACACATAAAAAAATACCAGCCTAATTTTCAAATTATTTGTTAATTACTTTCGAATAAATAATTTGTATTTCATTGACTATTGTTGTATTACTTACTTCTACGTTTCATAATGCACCCTATTTGTTAAATAAACACTTTTAAACTCTTCACACTATTGTTTCATCATTTCACTGAAGCATATTAAGGATTCGTTCAAATCTCTTACTTTTGTCAGGGAAATGACCTTCAAGAGACGTCATTTTAACATCTCCCGCCAATTGATCATCTTCCTTAAGAATTTGATGAGATTCCTAATTTCATCATTTTCCTGCGACATATATATTACTAATATCTACATTCCTAGGCAATAGAAGGCTCTTAGCAATAGAAGCATTTATTTTTGTTAAGTCGAGAGCGAGCAATTGTTTCGGCTCGAGGGCAACATTACGGAAACGGAAGACACCCGAGGGCCACACCTTTTAAAATGATTGCCTACATTAGTTAACTTTGAACCTCAGAAAAGGAGAATAAATTGTACTTTGAAAATCAATAAAATATAAGTTAAAAAAAATAGTGGCAGTTTCATTCGTAGTTTATTTATTATGCTAATTTCGTCTTTACTGCGTTAAACACATTTAATTTTAGCACCAGTTTAATGAGACAAATGTACCCTCTCATACTTTTCTACAATTTTTTTGAAATCAGGAGTAAAATTGCTTGTTGAAATTCTCATCACAGCCTGCAAGTATAAATGACATTAAACTTATATATTTATACTTACTCTCTAGTTCAGGGTTGGCAAACCTTTATGAATTAACGTGTCATTTTTTATTAAGAAATGTTTCATGAGGTAAAAACGTGCCGTCAAATAACTTTGAATTGTGATTATTGGAAAAATAATAAAATTAAATACTAGCTCAAAACTCTTTATTCACTACGAAAAAATAAATTTTGCAACGTATAGTAGCAAATGTTTTAGTTATACATGCAATTCAAATTAATGTAATATTAGTGTGACTTCTGCTTCGCAGATTGTAAATGACAAACCACTAATAATAGGATTGTAAGATGTTACTTTTAGTAGAATGCATGCTGAATTAAAGTCAGCTGTAAAACGGTTTCTAAGCGATGAATAACATTTAGCTATTCCTACCTGAAAATAATAACTTGCAGGCACAGATAGATGAAAATGTGGTTATAATAGCACGAGTCAGCTTCTTCCAACAGTTAAATGTGTCTGGAATCGAATTCCATGTTTCCAAAATTTCATACTTGCATTTTTACTTTATATCAATTCCAACCTTTTAATCGTTTCAATAAATTTTTGAATTCATATCGAACTACACTGGAAATCAATCAATTGCATTTCAAATTCTTCAATGTCCAACCAGTCGAATTGGGACAAGTTTAGTTTATCAAATGAAGTCACACCAGGGTACATAATAAACCTGAGCGTTTCCGATAATAATTTGAACTGAAAATATCTCGCT